CAATATCAGTAATTATGAACTAAGAGTGTCACTAGGATTCACTGTCACTACCCAGGTATTCTGTAAATACATGTCAGCATTCTTACTGTAACTTGGAATAAAAATTTCCTGAAGAGCTTTGTTTGGTTGAAATTCTGTTCAGAGTCATTGCTGGCCTGAAAGTTGCTTGTGTGCAAATTGATAAAGGAATCAGCCTTCAGAGCACAGGGCGTGACTTTGGTGCAAAAATAAAAAGAATGAGGGGGGTTATAGGAAAGAAAGAAGGAAAGAGGGAGGAAGAAAGGGTGGGGAGGGAGAAAGCGATGATGGAAGAGAGAGAGAAATAAAGGCGTCCTTGCTCCTGGCGGGACACATGATTTGGAGAGCAAAGCCCCCTTGCCCCTTTATTAGGCACTTCAGTGAAGTGCAGACAGTTCAACCTTAGGTCGTGACCTTGTTTCCACTGTCCGCTGAAGTAGAAGTGGATAATTATTGCTGATCTTTAAAAGCTATAGACATTATGTAAAAAATCAATCCAGAATTTACAAATAAACAAATAATTCAGGAAATACTTTGGCAATAAACATAAATATTAAAACTGAGTATATTAGTTCCATAGCTTTAGGAAGAACATTATATCTTTTGGAAGCCAGCAAATGCTTTTAACTTCAAATACAAATATAAGCAGAATAATAGAGATGAGATTTTACCATAATTCTTACCTTTAGAGAATCTTCTGATATACGAGCATTTGCAACATTAACCAAAATAACCTCCCATAGCTGTATCTATATTTTTTGTATTTAACTCAAATTAAGCCATGAAATATTTTCAAAATTAAAAAAAAAATCTATTTAAGAATTTTTCACAACTTGTCAGGATAAATTGAAAGAAGAATGCTAATTTTGTTACCTGAACATTTCATGAGGAAGAAAAATTTCAATATCATGTACAACACCCATGATATATGATCTTTCACCCAGAAAAATAAGGAATACAAAAAGTATGACAGAAAGAAGAAAATACATTAAGTGATTAGTACCTCAAAATGCATTTTTGAGTTTATGGACACTAAAACTTTAAAAACTTGTACAAAATGGTTGGAAACTCACGTGTACTGTTTTGTATTGA